ATTAGAAGGTCGTGGTCCCCTCTATATATATATATATATATAGACCACCCGTCTCATTTGATGAACACTGCTACGCCGCTGGCCCGTGTGATGTCGATCCAATATTATTGATTATTTTTTTTTATTTATTTTATTATTTTTTTAACCTATATAAAATATAATCGTGGGAATATGGTGAAACAACGCTGTTAAGGATATCCTGTGTGTACTGACAATAGCCAGTTACGAATATTATATAACGAATCACGCGTCACGCACACAGAAAATTGGCTTTTTATGCTCGTCGGCATACCGCAGTCTCGTAGATATTTCAAATGACGCGTACGAACAGTTTATTCATTTGTTTTTATCGCGTTTCAAAATAATATAATATTCTCCGTTCATCTCGCGCGCAAATGTCTAAAAATACTACTCCGTTTGAACACAAACAATTATTAATGTACAATGGGTATTCGTTTTTTGTGTTTTTTTTTTTTTTTTAATTAATAAAATAACAAACCGTCCGACATTTTACATGTTATCGTTAAAACGACGATAGCAACTAATTAATATTGTTGTTGCCCGATATTAATGATTATACGAACAAACAAATAACGTTATTAAAATATTATTACTGTCAAAAACGAAACAACAGCGCGATAATATTGGAATACGATATTATTGTTGTTTAAATATCACGTTATTTGATTTGTTTTTTTCTTAGTGTATTATAATTCATTTTACCACACAAATGCGCGTTGTGATTTACGAATAATATGTCCGCGCGTTTGTTTACTAAACTAGTGTTAACCTACTAAACTAGATTACGAAAAAAAAAAAATAACACAAACCAAACTCCGTCATATTAAAACTATTATTAACTTTTAGCGAATTACTTAATATTGTAAGAAAAAAAAAAAAACAACGGACATACATCGCATTATGGGTGGGCCACTGTTGTGCAACGATTGACCGTTGCTAACGAAAAACGATTCTGAGCGGGGTTCGGTTAATAGTGTTGCTTTGTCAACGATTTCTATGTTAAAATAATATATATATATATGCATTATATATTTTCTTTAATAATATTTGTTTAATATTGTACCCATTTTCCGGTTTTTCGAACTTTTTCTTGTTTTTCCCTTATTTTCCCATTTATTGTGAAAACAGGTGGGAAAATCAAAAAATGACTCCCTTAGAGTACGACCTCAGTCAGATTTCTTTTCAGCAAAAATGCTATAGTTGAAATTCCGAGCAAAATATCTGGTAGAAAAGTCGTTCACAGAAAACAAAAAAATAAACATCATTGTAAAACCAATTAATACATCTCTCGCTCCGCTAATAATTTAAAAAATGCAATTAAAATGGATATTAATACGGGGGACAATGTATGTAATAATATGAAATGTGGAAAGCGGCGAAAACAAGCGCAGTACCGTACTCAGTAGTAATAACAATTAGTATTATAGAAAGTTGTTAATTCATCGTGATAAAAATTATTGTGAAACCGAAAGGATTTACAAAATATCGAAGAATCCGGCGGTATTGCGTACATACAAGGACACGGATATTATATTATTATTACAGTCGGAAACACCGAAAACAATTTTTTCCCGACCATTTTGCCGAATGCGATTCGACTACAGTATATGTGTAGGCAAATTAATAAAAAAAAAAAAAAAAAACCGATCTGCCCGAAATACCCGAACAATTGAATATACTCGAATAGCGGACGTACTGTACTGTATAGTATGTGACTCGATTACAGTTTTGTCGACATGGTGAAATGAATCTTTCCAACATATAGTGTGTATAAAGACGTCGACGGGAAACGTTGACCATTTAGGAAATGACGACAAATCCTAGGAAATGATATTGTCGTTGTCCAGTACTTGTTATCGTTTCCGCGGTTTCCACATAGGCGAAACCCTTATAATACTTGTCCACAAGAACGGAAACGATTCCACGCCCGAACGCCGCAAGGGGATTCTGACGGGAATCTGCGGCTAAAATACCATAGCGTTTTACGTTTTAATTTCAATGGTAATATTGTTGTAAATTTAGAGATCGTTACACGGCTCTTGAACTACTGGTAAAAAAAACAAAAAATAAAAAATAAATATTTTACTCGAAATGTTTGTATAGAAAATTGCCGAGTCGTGATAAATACAAATCATCCTGATGTATAGTGCACACTATATTATACTATTCTCAACGCTGTCAAATAAAAAAAAATATAATAAATCGCGTAACACACCTACGCTACAATATCGAATGTCCCGATATTACGACATTCCTATACAGCTATCGTTTCCTGGTATCGTTGAGAAATGATAACGAATAGTTTCTATCATTTCCTCGTCGTATTAGGAATATATTGTTGACATTTCCGTTAACTTGGACACGCAAACAAAATATATCACCGGATATTTGAATTTATTAAGTCGTCTTCTATATGTTAATAAAATAAAGTGACTTTTGTTCTGTTTTTTTTTTTTTTTGTGCGCAATGCACAGCCGAATCTGTCGAGGTCTGAACGTTTACATCCAAAAGCGGACGAACGGGTGCATCTCGATTTTTGAATTTCCGAAACTCTATACCGTTACTAAAACGTGACTGACGCAGTGTTTTTCGGTATTTTTTAAATTTTTTTTGATTTTTCGTTGATTTTCGGGTTACTTTGGTGACCCGATGGAAAATTACAGTTATTATTAGTTGACTCGGTTGTCAAGGACGTACAACAACCGGTTAACTGTGATAAGGCCAGGACGGGAACTGGGAGTCATACGGGGGACACTCATTTGTATTTATTTATTTTCCGTTTAATACTGCGCGAGATAGTAAGTAGAAAAAAAAAAAAAAATGTTTCCATATTATCATTTATAGTTCAGTTTTTTTCGATAGAAAACGGTAGAAATTGATTTCGAATATACAAACTTTTGATTATTGAATACACTATTATAGCGATAAATTCGGAATCGTTCGCAAATAAGAGAAAGTGACACCGTTTAATCCCGTCTGTACATAACAACGAACGAAATAAAATGTATTATATGTATATAAGAATGGCAAGAATAAACGTCTTTGACGAATCCTATTAGTCACACGAATGCGCGACAATCGGCTGTAACCGATACGAAATAAACCAATAGAAAACGCTAATAATTTTTCTATAATAACGAAACAGTATACATATATAATACGTATATATATATACAAAGTAGTTGACGATATTCGACTGTCGAATTTCGTAAATCATTCCCGGTGTTTCCTCGAATGAAATGATGAATGAATAAATGAATAAAATTATTATTTGATCGATAATAATAATGTGTGTACGGACGATATTAATACGAAAGTATAATGTATCTGTGATCTGTATAATATAATATGTAATCTGAGTGAATAACGTAGTATTTTCTCGTCGAAATATTTTGAAAACTTATCAAAAAAAAAAAAAATGTTTTTTTAAGAGGTTTTTAAGCTTTTATATACATATATATATATATATATATATATATATGTATAAAAAGTAAACGTACAGTGGGAATCGATACGGAAACCGACTGCGAACGCGACGGGGGAGAAAACTGAACAACGTACGAGGGTATAGCGAAAAGGAGAAGAAAAAAAGAGAATTATATTTGATTTGTATTTATAATACGTATGTAATATATAGTTATAATAGTGGTGTATATAGTATAGTCTGACGGGGAAATGAAAAGAGAATAAGAACAGCGAGTGAGACGAACAATTTCTCTATAATATAATAAGATTTACTTAAAAATTACATAAACAATGATTAACTACACGGAATATTAAGAAAATAATGACTTTCTCATTGGAACAAAAACAGATAAAAAAAAAAATCCTACAAGAAAGTTCCTATGAAGTTTTCGAAGAAAAAATTGTTTTTAGACGCACAAAATAAACACACACACACACACACACGCAGACACGTCATAATAAAACCGATACAATCCTCGCTTCACTTGGATTTCAAAAACTAAACGTTTTTATACAGTGGGTTGGTGACGGTCAGTCGCCGAAGTGTAAAAACTTCCCGAAAACCGTCGCGTTGCGAAAAGTTTGGGAACCGCTGACGCACAGAGAAAATTCGTCCGGGTGTGTTCTACACGCGGCGGAACGAGTTCTAATTATATACTCAAAAAACACTGTCGATTTTTCGAATTCAAATTTTTTTTTTTTATATATAAATCATTCGTTCGCCAACAACGTTACGACAGATTTCCCGTGGCGCCGCCGACCCGAACAATTGAATCGATCTCAATAATTATGGTTATCGTTCCTACGATCGAAATCATTTGGACCGTACAGGTTACCTGCTATGAGATAATATTGCGACATTCGTATACAAGTCGAAACATCAATAAGTTGAGAATAATGAAGTATTTTTTTTTTTTTAATCGTACATATTATGGCACTTCAAAATGTTGCCTCAGAATTGTGCTCCGTTGGCAATGATTTATATCGTTGCTTAATGATATAAATAAAATAATTTTCTGTATCCTTAATTCTCAACTTCCCACCTAAAACAGTGGCAGTGTCAGCAAATATTTTATTTTCATTATTATTATAATTATAACATCCATGTAACCATATCCATATAAGATAAACAATAAATTAATCAAAATAATTCCATTGGTTAACATTAAAATGTCAAAATAAAAAAAAAAATAGGAGACCACTCTTTTTTAGACGTTAAATATAGAAAAAAAATGTAGACCTTCTTATTGTTGTGAATGTTAAATTTAAAGTAGAGTTTCGTTAAGATCGGAATAAAGTAATAGATATTTACAGAAAGCTCATGTTGGCTAATTGAACTTGATTATTGAATACAAACAATTATCGTTTATACGGTACCCCGCATATACACATCTATGACGACTGACTAATAAACAGTACAATATTTGGAACTAGATATTGAAAATATTTTTTTGTACATTATACAACAATATTTGCAAGATCCAGACCAATTTATTAACTACGCTTAATTGACCATGGCCAACGATACGGAATTCGTGTTGGGCATAGAAAAAGCAAAGGAGGCTGGATTGCATTTTGTTCAAGAATATCTTGAAATATTAAATGAAAAGCCGAACATTGCGTTCTTATATCATATCAACGAAGATTTACAGGTACAACTTTCTATTAGCCGCTATCCAACCGACATCACTGACAATCCACAACCAACTACAATCCTAAGAAAAAATCGAACCCATGAAGAAAAAATCATTCCCGCTGACATGATTAGCACCGATTTAGACTCTCGCATGGATACAACAGTAAATAGTGTCCAGAATAAAATTATTGATCCGGTTAAATTTACAAATAATATCTATATTCCACCCATAAAAAATGTAAAAAAGAAATTAGAGGTTCCTGGTGAAATCGCCGCGTCCTATTGGCGTGCTCTTACCGCCCCCCATCTTCTTCCGGAAATTACAGAAAATAATGAAACCCATGAAAGTTATTCCACTGGTATGGTTACATACAACCAGCCCCTTCTCGATGTATCCACCGAATCAGACTCTCGCATCGATACCGCGGTAAATAGTGTCCAGAATAAAATTATTCACCCGGTTAAATTTACAAATAATATCTATATTCCACCCATCGAAAATGTAAAAAAGAAATTAGACGTTCCTGGTGAAATCGCCGCGTCCTATTGCCGTGCTCTTACCGCCCACCATCTTCTTCCGGAAATTACAGAAAATAATATAAATCCCATTATTATCAAAGATAACGAGACGGCGACATCTATACCTGCCTTAAAAACTCTTCCAATTAATACAAAAGATAACGAGGGTAAAACCCCCAAACTTGTACCCGTCAATGCTAAAGAAAGGATTATACTCGAACCCTTGCCGAATACCTCCGCAAAGAATATTTGTCCTATTTCTTTCAAAAATGATTCTCCATCTAATATCCTAAGACTTAGATCCCGTCCAGTTCAAACGTACTACATGTCCTCTTTGACTACCCGTGAACGTGAACGATTTTTCAAAAAAGACACATTCATTAAGCGACAATATCGCCGAATACGGAGATCGCTATTTAAATTTAAATTATTACATGTTATAGAAAATCCCTTATTTTTTCTTTAACCAGCACTGTTTAATTTTTTAATTTCTGAATCTTTACCTCTAATTAATGCTTTATTTTCCAATACTATGAGTGCAAACTTATAGTCAAAAGCCTTCTTTATGTCTCTATATCGTTATATACATATATGGTATCTTCTTGGCTACGGCTAGACACATTGTCAATAAGATACATATTAGAAGAAAATTGTTTTGCCTTAGCTCTCGTATTCGAATAGCGAAGGTCTGTAGTTGTACTGTTAAACTGTAAAATGAAAAAGAAACTAATTATATTGGCTCAAAACTCGTGGTGAATAATTAGTTAAATAAACTTTACTACGCTCTTCCTGTACACTTGTCAGTGAACGCCAAAAGACCGACAATCATAAAATCATGTGCGTTAACTATTTATCGAAGACTTCGATAATTATCGGTAGCGGCATAATATATAATAGATAAACGGCATTAGACGTTAAAATCGAAAAGAAAAATATGATTAAAAAAGAACGGCCGGACGAAACGACGTTATAAAAAATATTCGAAAAGTGTTTAAATACATATTTTCTGAAGACGTTGCTTTTCAATTTATTCGAACAAGTATTCCGAACACAAAATGAACGTATCAGTTTCGTGACGGGCGAACACATGTTATAATTGTTGTTGTAACATTTCCCGTACGACACTCCGTAATGCGGTTCTGCAAACAAATCTCGCAAACGAAACAAACAAGCAAACAATAATAACGTAAGAGTGATAACGGATCGGCATTCGTTTAAAAAACCTTTTGTGCCGTCCTGTATTGCAGCGACAATAATTTATTAACCGCGTTTACATACCAATTGAGAATATTAATTATCGGGATATTATCGCCGAGCAATCAAATAATATTCTACTATCAACGTATACATTATAATCATTATTCAACTGTGACTTCAATTATTGTTATATTATACGATTATAGTGGTGTTATTTTGTTTTGTTTTTTTTATACATTTTACAACCGTACAACGGCGTTTGTGTTTCTTTTCGTTTTCAATATCAGCCGCTCGTAAGGAAATTATTATTAGATTTTTTTTTTTTTTTAATTATTACGATTTATATATGTTTCATTGAATAAAATATATAATATGGTTGGGTTTCGTGTTGTTTGTGTCGTATCCTCTCCCTCAAAAAAAAAAAAAAAAAAAAAAACAAAAAAAATCAGAGGAATTTGCACTCGGGATTAAGAATGTTTGTGAACACTCGTTTGAAACGTTCAACAATTAAATTCAATTGAATAATATGCTCTGTACAGTAGAGATATTTATAATCATATAGTTTCTTTCCATTCTGAATACAAACAGTCCCTATTTAACTTTTGGATAAAGAAGTAACATTTGTTGTCAACCGTTAATTCGTTTTTAAACGATTGTGATACAGTTTTTTTTTTTTTTTTTATAACCTATCACTGTTATAATATGATAAAAATATAAACGTTTTAAGGCCTCTGCAAGGCCAAATCGGGTTTAAAAACTAGACGATTTACAATGCGTTTTATAGGTGGATTGAAGCGGCGATATCGTGTCGCTGCAAGACGAGGGCGTGTTTTAGCTTGGAAAACTCCTGTGCGTGCAGAATCGTTTTTTGTTATAACTATTTAGGTACCTGCACAAACCAAATCGGCCTATAGATCCTATATTATGTGGCTTCCAAACTTCTCAGCACCGTCAACAGTCGCCTACCGCGATAACACACGGTGGACGGCGTACGTCCGTTTTTCCGTTGACCGCGGTCAAATTTGAAACTATACACAGACACATTTCTTTTATTCGTTTTGCTATAAAAAAAAAAAAAAACAAAATCTGTATATAACACGATGTAGTATTTTTTTTTTTTTTTCATATGCATATAACTATGATAGTACAAATCGCGTTACCCGGTAGATATAATACGCGTATGTACACCTACATAATATAATATTATAGTTTTTTTTTTTTTTTTTCAATATTCTGTTATCGCGTTCATTATTTAGGTTTTACACGTGGTGTTTAGAACGCGTATGTGTAGCTGGGCAGAACTCGTATACTTGTACAGACGATGTGAAATATTAAACCGATATGTGTGTGTGCGTGTGTGTGGTTTGTATAAATATTTAACGAATTTAGAAGCGCGAAACGCGGTAAAATTTGTTAAGGATATACCTATACACGTACCTAATACATAGTCGGGTATACGTTACCCGCCCCTCGACCGTGCCCGTCATTATAACATTTCTAAACTCTAAACGTACCCATATAAATAATTTAAACTGTACCGGTCCGATATACACCCGTGCAGGAAATATAATTCGCCGAGAAAACGTGTGTGTGTGTGTGTGAGTTGTACCGTTGTATACGAAATTATCTAGTCGTAAAATAATAAAATACGCGGGATAGTGGGTTGTTTGGTTAATACTGCTCTGCAGTACCGTTCCGTATAATATTATTATACCCTTGGAAATTTTATGTTAAAAAAACGTTTTTTTTTATTATTATTTTTGAACATCACTTTAAACGTATGATCTGTTATTATAACAATATGTTCGTATTAAATCGTTAAATAACCGTACGCGATGATTTGTTGGAAATTGCGTTTGAATTCAGTAAACTTGTACTATTATACGCACCACTATAATATAGAATATAACATCGTACGAATGTTTTAGTACCATCGTATACGATACGAATATAATATTAATATAACGAGGTCATTTTAAAAATAATTTCAAGGATATCGCAACGTATACATTTTGTAAAGTCGATAAAATTAATATTGATAAACTGCAGATAAAACAATAATTTTACTAGCACGTTTGTTATACAACTCCCCGTCCATTAGAAATTTAAAAAAAAAAAACACACAATAAAATTATATTACCAATTTAACTACATATATCATAGATATATAGTTTAAAATGATAAATGTTTTTTAGATTCTGTGTGGAGCGAAGAGCCTAATGGTTTTACACAGATGTCTATTTTATTTTTTTTATCTGTTGACAATTTTTCTACCGAAGATCTTGCTCCGATTTTTAAGTGTACTAGCACCTTTTCTGAAAGGTACGAGATAATTTAGAAAGGTGAAAGCAAATGTGAAAAACCGGGAATAACGAAGGAAATACGGGGAAATCGACAAAGCATCACTATCAACTGAACTCCGCTCAGAATCGTTTTTTCGCTAGCAATGGTTTTTCAGCGTTCCACTGTCCATTAAATTCTCTTCTGTATCTACCTTTCCAACTTTTCACCCACAACAGTGGCTACACCCGTTCAAATTATTCTATAGGACAGCTTTTTTATTTTTTTTTTAATTAAAAATTTCACCCGAAACCCCGACATTATTCCCTGTGGACGAACCCGGTTGTACTGTTTAATTATTTTCAGCGTTTAAATAAAATATTATTCTAACCGGTACGATTTTTTCCACTGATAATATTTTAGCTTCGTTCCGTATGAGACAATGATACGGTGCCACGAAGCACATGTTGCGGGTTTAAAACGGCGGTGCGTTCACTGGGGGGGGGTCTTGGTTTGGGTCTGATACGGTATAGAATAGTTGGCCCGGACTGATCAGATCGTCATTTTTTAAGAGGACATTATATCCGCGTCCCCCATTTCGGTCTAACTACCGGGTAACATGCAAAAACAACGCTTGCGCAGAGTAATAGTACGTAATATAAAATTTATAGAGAACGTTATTTTGGAGAGAATGTCATAGATGTTTATAGAATAATGAACTACTAAAAAAAGTGACGGGTATTTAAAAAGAAAAAAAAAAAAGAAAATAATCTATTATATCAAGCTGCATATTTTGAATACCACAAAAATCTTATGGCGTTCCCTCCGAAATAACAGTGTATACATTTTATCAATAGGCGGTACTTTTTCTCTAAAATCAAAATTAAATGCTAGTTTTACTTATTCTGCGTAAGCATTGTTTTTGCATAGTGCACGGTAGTCGGGAGGGAGACAGTTGATGCGGGTATAACGTTCAGTCAGGGCTAACTGTTAATTATGATACGGGGCGGTTATAAAAAAAAAAAACACAAATATTTTAAATACAAACATATATATGCGTGTGTGTGTGTGTGTGTGTGTGCGTGCGTGTGTATTTAGGTAAACCGATCGAGTAAATTTAAAAAAAAAAAAAAACCGATTATAATTTTCTACGTGAATTTTGGATTGCAAATGTGTTTACTATGGCATCAATGGCCATGTCTACGGTAAATGCAGATCCGCTAACCTATTGATCTGCACTCGTTCTCGACCGTGCTGAAAACGGTCCGAAATACGCGCAGCACGCGGAACACAAAATTACGTTTGGCAGGTAACAATATTAAAACTGAAAACAACAATCAAAATACAATAAAAATAAAAAAAAAAGGCAATACTATAACGTCATTCGCGTACCGGTACCAACAACAGTCATTGTCACCGATTTTACGCGTTACGCGTGGCGGGCGTTCCGCTATAGCGACGCGACGATAGTTTACATAACGGATTGTAATTATCGCGGATTTTTTTTTTTTTTTTTTTTTTTTTTTTCGAGAAGACGGAAATAATTCTGTCCGCAGCGCGCGTTCGTAAGCAGACATAAATATTTATCTCGTGCCGGAGATCGTTTTAGTTGTTAACTACAGCGATACGTTTCACTCGCGTTTTACGCGCGCCGACCGACGAGTGCTCTTATACTAATATAACGTACGAGTTGTATTTATTTTTTTCGTCCGGCTAAAAAGAATTCCCGTCGTAAAATTTATTACATCGCGCGTATACCGAAGAATAAAAAACAAAAAATGTACACATAAATATTACTATATTGTAACCACAAGGCTTTGCGATAATTATCAGTATTGTCGAGTACCATTCGGATAATATTGTATTTGAACACTTTTTTTTTCTTTTTTTTTTTTTTTTTGTATTTAAAATACTTTTCGATAGAGATGCCACGTCATTATGGTTTAGATGTTTAAAAATTATACGTTTTTTTATTCCATCATACAAAAC